CTCTTATACTCGTACATGTACCTATGGGTACCTAAGTACACGTACTCGTACCCGTTACTCGCAATTCTAGTAAAAATAAATGTATCAATTGAAAAATATCATATCATTTTAAATTATTAACAAAATTCACAAAAAAAATCAAAGATTTTATTGTTAAGTTAGGAAATAAATGAACAGTTATATTAAAATGTTTAATAGTTTAATTGTGATGTATTTTCTTAAAGAGATAGACATATTTTTTATATGATGATATAAATAAAAATATATAAATGTACAGTGTGCGAGTATAGGGTGAGGTGGGTATTAAGATACATGTATTCTCACTCATACCCACTTAATTTAATGGGTAATTACCCGTGCCTGCACCTGTAGCCATTTTGTGGAGTTTTACCCTACCCGTTGTGGGTATTTTTTGCGAGTGTCCATTAGGTATAAGTACAAATTGTCATCCTTAATCATTACAAGTGAGATCTCATCATATGAAAAGGTGAAGCACCTAGCAAAAGTGACTAAGAAAGGTAGTGCAAGTAGAATCCTCAAGTTAAAAAGGAACTAAAAAGCCTTTAAAGCATTAAGCTAGTTAATCTCCCTGCTGAAACTTAAAAGTGAAACCTTGAACCATATGATAAAGCAAACAAATTAGGATTAAGGCTAATTATCTTCGGGGAATACTTCTGGCTTGACAGATGACATCATGGGTCACACATATACACATAGTAAATAGGCTAATATGTGATAAAGATTGAGTTGTGCACTTTTTTGGATACATTCCTTTGAGAAAAATTTTGTTTGTATGAAATGTGATGTTGAATTAGAGATAATTTAGTTTTTATTTATTTCTGATATTTATTTTTTGCATCACCTAAGGATAGGTAATGATTCAAGTTTGGGGGTGTGATAACTTACTATTTATGAGATATCTAAACCCTTATTACTTGATTTTATATTGTTTTACAAGCATAATTAGGATGGATTAACTAGGTTTTGTTGTTATTAGCTTATTTACCATGGAGTACACTATGTGATATCTTTTTTATTTTAATGTGTTTGTTTCTTGTGTAGGAGTACTCTGATAATAAGTTGTGTCACGTCAGGAATGCAGCATCAATGCAACATCACTTCCCAACAGGCCTTAGAGCCAAAAGACTTTGTAAGGAGTGAAATATCTCAATATTAGGGCAAATGTGGCATGAGCTTGAAGATGAAAGCACTAGCTGAGCTGGAAATTTGGATGGATAAGAACGAATAATACAAGAAAAAAAATCTTTAAAAAGTTGCCTAACGTTGAAATGAACGTGCAACTTTCCCCTGTGACAGGTTTGCCTCAAGACACTTTGTCATATGAATGCGTTATGTATTGTACCTAGTACTAGTACGATAGGATAAGAAGAGAGAATATATTGATTTTCATGAGTCAAATAAATGGATAATTACAAGGCCCATGATCCAATGAATCAAGAAAACTATAAAAGCTAGAAGGTTATAAAAGGGCCACCTTGAAGAAATTAAAAGAGGTTGATAAGTTGAGACACTTAAGAAATAACTTCGAAAAATATCTTCCGTTTAGAGAAGAAGAAGTTTGAACCAAACGTGAAGAAAAGCTTTCCTCCTTCCTTTCTTGAAGAAGTGTTGAGTTGTCATATGTGACATAATTCACCTCTTGTTGATTAAAAATTGAATAAATTAGAAGTGTTACACTTAGATTTTCATTTCCTTTTCATTTAAAAATGTTAACTTTAAGAACTTAGAAGTGTTACACCATGAGTTAAACTCTTTACGTTGAGTAATGTGAAGTTTAATGAAAAGTAGTATTTGATTTTAGATGATGTGATTCTAGTGATGCATTTTATCATGTGAAACATTGCTATATATTTGTTTCTTTGTGTGATCACCTTAAAAATAGGTAAAAGCATGTTAATGTTGAGAGATCCTTTAACAAGTGGAACTCATGCTAAATGTGGTTGAAAATAGTAGGATATACATGTTCACTAAATTAGTCACTTTAGACATAAAGGATTACAATGATAGGAGAAATCAAAAGTTACACAAAATGTCTTTTAATGTTATTGCTAGACCTAGATATTTGTTCCCCTAACTTAATGCATATACTTTAATGTTGTAGACATACACTACTAGATCACTTTCCACCTCATTTCTCACGACATATCTCATCATTCACACACAAAATACGAACTTCATTAAATGAATCATTGTCCAACATCTCTTTCATTGTTGATTTAACTTCTTTACTCTTGTTCTTTACTGCTCAACCTGAATCTGTGACAACTAATCATTATTATTATCATCTTTGCTCATGATTATTCACAAAGTTTTATAAAGAGAATCAACATAAGTTAACACATTCTCTGTGAGATCGATACTCTTACTTTTACATCATTTGCTACCAATAGACTGTGTATATTTGAACATATAAATAGCACGACAATGAGGGATGCTACAATGTCTAGAGTTGTAGCAAAGGGTCTCCCTAAAATGCAGTTGTATTCGCTTTTACATGAGATCACCAAAAATTAAAGATCTATCGTATGAGTATCTTTCTTCTTTTATGATGACCATAAGCTCCACAAAAACTCCAGGGACAGGTTATTGTATCGTTGAAAGTCTGTAAGTTGGAACCCATGCAGGCATACATAATATTGCATGATCTCCATTCGTCTTACATAATTCATAAACATCGAAGTTGACCAGGTTTGTTGCTATTACTAAGGGGAAATCTCATTGGAGATCTCGCAAACCTTCTCGCTCTCTTTTGAATTCTAAGATGAGTATTTATGGTTTCTCTTTAGTAGGGATGTAAATGGATATCCATGGGGACGGATACTATGATATTCCTATTCGCCCCATTGGATAAATATGATATTCATATCCGCCCTATATCCATGCGGATATCCGTTAAGCGGATAATTCGCGGGTTTTATAATATCCGCGGATATTTTTACAGATATCAATGGATAATATTTTTTTTCTAAAAATATTTTTAACTTCTTTTAAAGACACAAAAAATATTATCACATAACATCCATACAATTAACTCTTAATTTAAGAATAAAACTTCATCACATTGATTTTCTTCTTATTCACCAAAACATAATATCCATACGTTTCGTTTTTAACCAAATAAATAAAAGATATTGTGATTGTGAGTTATGATAGAAAAGCGGACGACAGTGAAATAGAAAGGGAGACACTGGTTCGACAGACAACACTAGTTTGTTGGAATATGAAATTGTTGAAGTGAGGTATGAAGTATTGAAGAGGTTAAATATGAAATGACTAATAGAATTTGAATGAAATGTGAAAGGTTTTTTTCAAAGAAAATAAATATAAAAATTAAAAAAAAAAGACATATAAGAAGACTAATTTTTTTAGAAGATGAAAAGATAAGATATAATAAACTAATAATATTTAAATGATTTTTATAATTTATTAAGGATATGGATATCTGCGGGTATGGATATCATTAAGGTCGTATCCATATCCAATAACAAACAGATATTTAAATATCTATTTATTTTATCCGTAGATATTCATTAAACTACTTGTCTCATATCCGTGATAGATTTTATCCGCAGATATCCGCGGGTACAGGTTTTTTTTGTCATCCCTACTCTTTAGTGCACATTTATTATTTCTACCTTCTTCCTATTCCGATGTGGAATAGAAGATTGATGACGTCTCAATGTGAAGTTTTTTGTAGCGTATGTCTCCAGTACGATAGATTCAGGGTATGCTTGCAAAGTTAGAATTTCAACGCTCAGCTAGTGAAGTCAAAAAAGTATAACTTTGCATGAGTAAGTGAATTTGTACTTGTTATCACACAAAACTGAACTTATAAGTGATTGGTGGTTCAAACTGCTCTTGATTGACGCAGTGTGAATTGCGAGAGGCTGAGGCTGTTGCATTGGATTTGACGACTTAAGATAAGCAACCATCTTTACCCTTGTATACATCCTTCTTGCATGAGTTCACATATTAAACTTTTCGTATTGGGTCGATCTCGTTGTATTGTTTAGTCGGTCCATAAGGCTTTCAAACATAATTTTAGAGTAAATTAGAATCCAAGTATCATCCAATTTAACATTCTTAGATCTTTCTAGATAATTAAACTGAATTGTAAGTTATTTGAGTCTAAGAAAATACAATTTCGAACCTGTAATAGAGGGTAATACCATATCAATTGTAAGATTAAGAGTGACCTAAAGTGAAAGTGAGGATTAAAGAAAGTTTTTAAAACACTAATAAAAATCTCACATGTGTTGGAAGTGAACTACCTCACATTAAATGAATCAATATGTTTATTATGTCTCAACTCTCTAACACTACTCTTTATTTTTTTAGTATTCAGTAATTACACACTAATAGAATGGTTGGCAATTTCACATGTTCCTCTTCCCTTCCTTCCTTCTTTCCTTTATTTTCCTTTATTCCTTTTCTATTTTATTTCACAATTACCTTCTTTCTGACTCTATAAAAAGCAAATGACAGAATACTAATATGACACAAAGCTTTCCCATTAGTTTCCTTGAGTAACCAAGCATCTCATTCGTCCTGTTCAGAAATAAGGCAATCTTTCCGCCCTTCTTTCCGCGTGCCTTGTTGTCCTTTCTTTTTTGAGGAATCACTTTTCCTTTTTCATTATTTTTAAAATAAAAAATAAATTTAAATGAAATTTCATCTCTTTATTTAACCTAAAATTCTTAGCCATTCATTTTTTATACAGTATAATCTTTGATAGTTTTTGGTCCTACAATCTTCTATGATAATGTCATTATTGTTAACCAAGTGATAACAATTGAGTTACTACATTTCTAATATAAATAAATAAAAATATTCCCTTTAACTCAAGTAGAGTGTAGAGTGGAGCTAAGTCAAGATATTTCTTTCCACACTGTTTTGTTTTTGTCCATTCAACAACACTACTCACTAAACTCATTGTCATTCCCTTCACCATTCACATTCCAAATACATAGATCCATTCCATGGATCATTCTAGATTCCAGCAACAATGTTGCACTTTCATCATCTTCATCACTATTTTCCTTACAGGTAAATATTGCTACTGCTACTACTTCTCTCATTCAACTACTTTATAACAATATCACTCAAAACAGTGTCTTATCTTATCTTATCTGCAGGACTCGCAACAAAATCCGAATCAATCGGTATAAACTACGGCCAAATAGCGAACAACCTACCTTCACCGGAAAACGTAGTATCACTGATAAAATGCGTCGGAGCAACGAAAGTGAAACTCTACGACGCAGATCCAAAGGTTCTAAAAGCATTCGCCAACACTGGAGTCGAATTCATGGTTGGTTTAGGAAACGAATATCTCTCCAAAATGAAAGATCCAAACAAAGCCCAAACATGGATCAAAACTAATCTTCTGCCCTATCTTCCATCCACGAAAATCACTTCCATTTTCGTAGGAAACGAAGTTCTAACCTTCAACGATTCTTCACTTACTTCATGTCTTCTCCCAGCAATGCAAAGCGTTCACACTGCACTAGTTAATCTCGGACTTCAGAAACAAATAACCGTCACCACAACTCATTCTCTAGCGGTTCTTCAAACTTCTTATCCGCCGTCTTCCGGAACGTTCCGTCCTGACCTAGCTCCATGCCTAGCTCCGATCTTGAGCTTCCAAGACAAAACCGGATCTCCGTTTTTGATAAACGCGTATCCGTACTTTGCTTATAAGGATAATCCGAAGCAGATTTCGTTGGATTACGTTTTGTTTCAACCGAATCAAGGAATGGTGGATCCGTCTACGAATCTACATTACGATAACATGCTCTTCGCGCAGATCGATGCTGTTTACTCGGCGTTGGGGAAGTTAGGTTACGGCAAACTTCCGGTGCACATTTCCGAAACCGGTTGGCCGTCGAAAGGAGATGAAGATGAAGTTGGTGCAACGGCTGAGAATGCGAGAAAGTATAACGGAAATGTGATGAAGTTGAGTAGCAAGAAAGGAACGCCGTTGAAACCTGAATCTGATTTGAATATTTACCTTTTTGCCCTTTTCAATGAGAATATGAAACCTGGACCAACTTCAGAGAGGAATTATGGATTGTTTAAGCCTGATGGTAGTCCTGCTTATAACCTTGGATTTTCTTTGTCTTCTTCGTCTTCTTCTACTTCGAGTCCGCCTTCAAATGACGCCGTTAAAAATGGTACTAGTGGATCTGGTGCTGGTGCGCCGCCGCAGCCTCCCACGTCCTCCAGCGGGTATTTGGCCATTTCCTCTGCTACTTCACTGGTTAGTAACACTGGCCTTCTTATCAATTCTACTTAATTATTATACAAAACATTAGCTAAATACGTTACTAATAATTTTTAATATGATTGTTATTGACAACGTAAAATTTACAATAATGCATCATCCATTTTCTCATAAAATATTAGTTATATTTGGTATCAAGATATATTAAATCCGTCTATTTAATATTTGGTATTAAGATTTTTGAACTAAATTACGGGTATTTGTATAATTTTTAGTGCTAATTGATAGATTTCATATAATTTAGACATTAAATTTTAAGTATAATTTACTAAATACGGAGTACATGATTATGAATATACTGATTTTACGGTTTTGACTGTTAATTACTGTTTTGTCAAAAACTGTTAATGATATTAATTCGAGGGATTGATGATAAGCGTGACTAATTAAACTGATGGATGTTTTCTTTGATTCAGGAAAGATACCATTTGATGTGTCTTTCTTTATCCTTTCTGCTGCCATTGTTGATGAATTTGAAGTTTTGAGGTTTTTTTCATTGCTAACGAATCCAAGGAAGACACTGCATCATGGCAATTGAAAAAAGAAGAGTAAAGGCAGGCAGAGAAAGGAGTAAAAGGTAAAATCGACCAACAGAAGCTAAGTTATTATTCATTTCACCTTGCTTGTCCGTTGCTATTGGAATTATTTTAGATCTCGTCAGATAGCGAATATCAAGCGCACTTTGTCTCCTTTCAAAATCTGAAATTTGCCTATTAGTGTCCTTTCTCAATATGGATGCAAGCTGCAAATTTACTAGTACAGCTTTTATCGCCAGACTATATATTTTCCACCAACAGTAACACTTTCTCTGCATTATTTTAAACATACTTAGCTGGTTCTGGTTTCAATAAGATTGAGTTACAAGTGACAATCTTGCAACATAGTTTTCGAATATTTAACACCGCCAATCTGCCATTGTGAAAAAAGTTGTATCCGTTAGGAAACTGACAAACATCACACACTTTATTGTTGGGGGGCACATGCTAGTTGGCATCAATCAATATCAAAAAGATAGATGACCCTTTTTTATGTTTTCCTTTTGCAGGGAGAATATCTTCTCTTTTTAGTATCACTTACTTCTAGGAAGGAAAGGAAGCCTTATACCTCCCCCTGCCAGTTTATTTTATTATTTATGTTTCCCATTTCATCTGTTCTCATTTTGAGATATATTCTTTCATAATAATAATGTGTTACGTTCGTTCACATTTGTGGTGTTCAATTCTCACAAGCAACGTGCACTTACTAAAAAAACATCAATTTCAAAAACAAACAGGTGTTCCAAACTATTAGCACTCATTTAACGTGTCATTTATAAAACAATTTGGAACAGATACCTTTAAAAAAAATTGGAACAGATACCTTAAAAAAATGATTTTCTGTCAAAAATGATTTCACATATTGTCATGAGTATGATATAGTAATAGTTAGTGAAAAACCGGGATTTGAAAAACGTGGGGAAGTTGAAATTGAATAAGTTGTCAATCTGTACTGCAATAGTTTTTAATGACATGAAACATGCTTATCCTAAACCAAACCAATTGTTTTTAATGACATGAAACATGCTTATCTCAAGAACACTAAGTAAAATTCCAAGGTTAGAGGTTGTCCAAGACAGCACAAATTTCAGGGCAAACAAACATGCACATGCAGAACAAAAACAATAAGAATCAAACAAAAATTGCTGAGCAGTGGAGGACAAAGAGGGGATTAGGACTCCAGGGCTTCCAAGAACTAATTCAGAAAAACATAAATCGGGGCTGGAGACAATGTTTTGGTTCAGAAATAAAATACAGCATTAGCTCATTTTGATTTATATTGGACAAAAACCTGAAAATACATCAAAAACTGATCCAGACAAGTCATACCCATGTTGAGTAATGCACCAGATGAAGGGGAAGGACAATCGGGATAAAGGGCAATAATGCCATTATTTAATAAATAAAAAATATGATCAACTGTTTACCACCATCTCCACACATTTTATGTAATTGGGACAGTAGAATCCTAACAACACAGTGGAAGATGAGTACAAATTATTTCACAAACACAAGCATTGCCTATTAATACATTAATTGCATAAAACTGTATCGGCAATGATGATGAATTCAGGATGATCTATTTTAGCCTCTGATAAAATGAAATACAGAAGAACCAACATAGTTCTGTTCTAGGCTGCAAAATTTCTGTCAAAAAATGATATCATGTAATATTAACCATCAACCAAACTCCAAAATTAACAGGTTTTCTAGAGCCTCCTCACCTACAACATTTTGATTAATTGCTGTTAAAACAGTCTGTCTTCATATTTTGCTGTTTTGCACTGCATAGTAAAATGGCCATCCAGAACTTAAACTCCAAATTGTATTTCATCATATGATCCAGGCATCATACAACAAATAACCCATCATTTTCTACAACAACATGAATGAACCTAAGACGTCTCTCCTTCCATCTGGTTTTTACTTCCCACTCTCTGATAAAATAACACATATGCAGCCGAAGACTTAATTTCAGCTTCACTAACAGGACTGACATGACTGTCATCAAAATGGTACCACTTATTATCATCAATCAACTGCACAGAACAAATAACATTGGGTTATAAACAGAAACATCTCACGCAGCACAGAATTTCACAAACTACAAAATCAAGACTTGGCATGCCACGCGCAGATCATGAAAAATCAAACATTATCATCAATGTGCATGTTATGAACTTACCTTAGCATATGCAGTGTAATGCCCACCCCCTAGACCACCATAATGGTTGCTGATTGCATAAAGGTTATACACATAGGGCTGTCCTTCCTTATTCTTCACATACTTGGTCAAATCAAGATTGTGAATAGGAAAATTCACAAAGGTGTCAAGTTTGTTTTTCAAGTATCTGCTATATGAGAATCGTTTCAAGTGAAAAACCAGAATCTCTGGCAATTTCCACAAGTCCAGTTTCTTTGTAGCCTGTCTGTGTTCCTTGCATTGAGGGCAGTACCTAATTAATGTTCAAAAAAATATATATTTAAAGCAAAAAATATTTCCTAGTGTACATGGTAGTATACTACTAAATAATGAAATCCATTTCAAAAAGATCAAAGCAATCTTACCACATGTCATCTGGCCCTAGAGGTTCTTCAGTCAAGAATGCCTCCAAGCATGAAAACAAAGAAATAGCTTCTTGGCGGGTTTTTTTTACAGTGAAACCGGTTTTGTGGACTTCGGGAAGATCTCTCAGATAGCTGGCATCATATAATTCATATTCTCTCTCAGTCCAGTCAAGAAAAACCTTTATATGTGCACTGGGTTTTATCACAGATGCCTTTTCAATGGGCTCACAGCTAAAACATCCATCATTAGTTAAAGCAAGTTGGAAAGATGACTCCCCACAGGATGTCCCCTCCTGTTCTCTGGAGCCATGTGTCAGGTTTCTTGGTTCACTTTCAAAATTAGAGATGCTTGATTGCTCATCACTACCACCTGAGATGAAACCATTTTCCTTCCCTTCGTGAGACCTAGTTGAAGAATGTGCTTTTCTTAAAGGTGCCAACATTCTATGTACATAAGCCTCAATGTTTGCTCCATATTGAGGATCTTCTGCCAAATAAGTAACCAAGGGAGTTCCAAAGATCTTCCTGTCTCCACCCTTCACACTGTCCAGTGAAAGTCAAGAAAATTGATAATCTAATTGACTAGATATAGAGAGATTAAAGCATTATAATGTTCTAAATCAATGCACTGTGTACGGTGAAATCTAAATAACCAGTTGGGAAACCATGCTATGGCAAACTTCTTTATACTATAGCCACGGCACCAAACGGTTGTGCATACTTTTCCTAATCCACATATAGCAGGTACCAACCTTAGTGGTGCCTGCAAAATTCTGTTATTACTCGAAATTCCTAATAGTGGAGAAAATGACCAAAGCATCAGAAAAATGATGGGAGTAGTGTTTTGGGTTATAAACGCAGTGATAAAAAAAATTATTGCATTGAAGAGTTAATGTGTTCAGACATGAGGCATTCACCACCATTATCAATGTCTGATTGATTTATTCCTATTTGTACTTTGGAAGAGTTCAATGGGTAAATCAAACTGTTAAAACCAAAATATAACAGTCACCACTCAGTTGCTTTCAAGGAGGAAAAAACAATTTAACCAAGTTTATTAGAACTAGAGCAGAATTCCAGTAACCAAGACAAATACTGAGTTAAAAGGAGCCTTCAGATTAAATTTATCAAGAATTATTTAACCCAAATTTGCTGTAATGTCACGGGCAATGAAAACTATCATATATAGGAACCATGACTCAACAGAGCGTTGTGCCTTTCCCATTAAAGAGTATATCTTAACACGCCAAAAGAGGTATACTTACTTATCCGGACATCGATGCACTATTTCTAGTTTTGTTTTCCTGGCTCCATTCTTGAGTCGATAAGCCACAATATGTTCTTCATCCTTGATAGAAGTCAAGGACTCTAACGGATTCTCTAGATATCGATAAATCTTATTCTCATAAACCTGATAGATAGACAATATAAACATTAAGAATAAAATAAAATTGAAGTAGAAAAGCCAATAGTAGGTCTAACTTTTCTGAGAAACACTCGCCTCTGCAAGCAAAAGCATTTCATCACTCTTCAAACAGCATGCAGTGCCCAATGCTTGGCAAAGATCCCTGCAGCAACCATGCTTCAGAACATTCACTGTGTACGGCATGGGAAGACCACTCCCATCACAATAAAAGACGGTAACTGTCATTGTCCGGGTGACAGTGGAAGGAAGTGGTAATGATAAATACATAAAGGGATCAAAAGTGATTGAAATTTTGCCACATTCAGGACAAACCAATGTTGATTTGTATTGACCCTGCATTTTATTCAAGAAAAAACAAAATAAGTGATAGAAAAGCTTAAGGAAGATAACGGGCATGTACTTAAATTGAAACTCTATCTTGTCAAGCTTTAATGGAAACCTAAACTCAAGAGTTGATAGAAATCAAGAAGGTTTATTGAGATGTGAAGAAAACTCAACAAAGCATGTAGCTACTCAGCTTATCAATGGAAGGTCAACTGGAATTCATCTATTATGTGACTGAAACAAGGACATATGATATATACAAGCACTCACCTGGCATTGATCAACAATCAATGAATCATTCCGAGCCATATGATTTTTCCAACACTCATACGCAACTTCCTCATCTGGCCTACTATCTGAGTCCTTCATTTCAATGTAAGGCTTTTGTTTCACACGATTCAAATCTTCATGCAGTCCATCCAATAAAAAGGCAAGCAATTCCTACAAAAAAGTAACTCACTACTCTGAGAACACACAGCAAAAGAAGCAGAAGTTCAATAGCTTTCAGAAATTAGTAGGAAACGTAAATTGTAAATTTATAAAGTTGTCCAGACTCAATAAAGAAATGCAAGCAACAGTCAAATTTTCCCATCTCCAACATTAATGCAAACTTGGACCTATACAAATGCAAGTTAAGCAAAAGATGCCCAATTCTCCAGTCATCTGGTAAACTAAGACCTATTCATAATGCAATATAAGATTAAGTTTGCTGCTATCATTTGGGTTTTAGTTCTTAGAGCAGAAAAGGAAAAAACTAACATCACAAAAAAAAACAGGGGATGGGGCCATACAGGTATGACATACTGGCAACAGACAACTTCAATAAGTCCAATAAAAGATCCTACAAAATCACAAACCTGTGATCACATGATCTCTCCTCCTAGTCTATAACAAAAACCACATGGTCCTTGGCAATTTTCTCATAAAAACTCCAATCGCCCGAATCAACAATAGTTAAAATGTTATGAAAGAAACCTTATCTTTCATGGTAAAAATGTCTAGTGTTTTAAATATTAGACTTTAGATTGGACCTAACTCAACCCTTACAAAACCGACTTGTAAGATGAGAAGTGAGTACACTTATAAACACATTGTCAGACTATATCTCATCAAATGTTGGACTCTTAACACACCCAGAACTGAACATATGGAACGCACATGAGTGGCCCCATAGCGGTGACTTGAGCTCTTGAAAACTAAGAAAATGTCAAGTCACACATAGAACCTTTTGGAAGCCAATTTTTAACAAAGAATTGCTGGTTACAATTACTTTTAGACCTTCTAATAAGTGGACAAAAATACAATAAAAAATAAAACGAAAAAGAATGATATTTCAGGGAAACAAACACGATTTCTTTGTCCCAAAATCTAACTTGATATAAAAAATAATTGCATGCATCTGTTCTTTATCATAATACATAATATATGATTGAAAATGCTAGTGAACAGAAGACACCATGTAACAGAAAGTTTTTGAGGTAAGTAATAACAGCACTGGGGTTTATTTACTTCACTACATTCCCAAAAATCAAAATTAGACAATTTGCAGAAACTAACTTGAGAATCATGTTGGTTATAACCACTGAATTGTGGAGCAAATCGGGCCAGCTTTCCCTTGAACGCGCGTGGTGCAATAGCAGTTCGCCCAGAGGACCATAGTTTCCTCAACAAATCACCAAATGCAAGTGCTAACTCACCCTGCAGATCAGAGAAAATTTAAAATGTCAAAATTAATTGCCTTCAAAGTAGAGCCATTGTGCTACACAAAGTGTTATACAAAAGAGAACAGCAGGAGAAAAAATAAATAAAAAGTCAACGGAAATGGTCACATACACTCATTCCTAAAGGATTGTCCCTGTTGATCTCATCGTTGTAATCTTGTAAGAAAAATTCAACAAGTGGTGGAGTGTGGACTAAACATTGAAGAGCGCTACTCATAAAGCAGGTATTCCCCAAGTTCTGCAGTCCTGCTAAACCACCTCGTTCACCTTTATAGATGTCATAGTTATCATCCATAGTAGTCAATGATGAACTTACAGAACTTCCCTGATACAAATTAAAACCAGACCCAGTTGAGTGACCATTTGACAAGGTAGGTCCCCCTGCAATTGATACAGATGATCTTGGAGGTTCTAATGGTACCAATGCTAATTCATTTCCTATTGAATGCACACCAGAATGAGAAGAATGATCTGTATCAACTGAAACTTCTAGAAGAATCTGTGAGCAAGAGATAAATTAGGGGAATCAAGCTTCTATACAAGAACGAATACCAAGCAAAAAAATAGGATATAATAATAGCTTAACATAAAATTAAAATAATACCAAAAGAATATTCAGCACCTCACTCAACATAAAGACACTCATATCACCCTATATTGGACATAAACTTCCTTCTAATGGAAAACCATTATTAGAGTGCATATCCACTTTATACTTCAAATCAATCAATCAAAAAAATCTATATAATTCAAAGTTACTCACATCATGGTCCATTGTCATGTTTGCATCCTCCAATGTCTGGTGGTCTGAAGCCGTCAGTAATGAAAGCTTGTTCAAATTGAAGTAATCCCAAATACAAGCCTAATAGATAGTTTACAATCAATCAATGAAAAATGACGGAATCAGGAGTGAGATTTACAACAAATGAAAAACAAACAAAAAAACATAAATAAGAATACCACCTTGTTCTGTTCTACTCCTTTAACTTTGCACACCAGCTCATAAAGTTCACTCATGGTAGCCTAAAAAACAATACAGAATTAAAAAAGCAAAATCAGAAGAATAGTTTATCTCACATTTGAATCATAAAATCATATCATACTATCACCATATTTGGTGCCATTCAAATCCAGATAAAAATCTAGTAAAATTCTTATATTTGTATTCTTGGAAAAACTTAATGCACCAGTTCATGAAGTTGACTCATGGTAGCCTAAAATACAATACAGGATTAGAAAACCAAAATTAGAAGAATGGTTCAACGTACATTTTAATCATACAATCATATATGTTATCAACACCATATTTGGTGCTATTCTATGCTAGATAAAAATAGAGAGTAAAACTCCTATTTTGTAATCTTGGGAAAAAATTGATGGCCTTCAACAAACGTCTTATAAAATAGAGCACCCTGTTGATAAATTGATATAAATGATGTAATTATAAGTCAAAATTAAATTATTTCCCAAACACCGAAGTTCTTTCAGAGATTTTGACTCTAACTTTTCTCTCTACTTTCTTAAGGAAATCAAATGAGAATTTTGAGAATTAAGATTGAGAATTATTGCCCAAACACTGAAGTTCTCTTATTTTGACTATAATTCTTCTCTCTACATTCTAAAGGAAATCAAATGAGAATCAGTACAATTGGGTAATCATTAAATAAACATGAAAACATGTCAACATTTAATTCAACTTACTCGGAGCAAAATATGAATCTTGATGACGACTTTATATAAACATACAAAATATAAAAATTGCTTAAAACATAACATAATTTAATAATATTAAACAACATTTGCACAAACCAAATAGTATAACCATTCTTATAGTGATATCAAACACCAATCATACAATGCATACTGATACCCCATACATTGATGCACCACCAACACCCTTTTCTAATCATTGGCATTACTGAAAACTAATTACAACAGAAGAACTTGCAACAAAATCTATGAGTACCTTTTTGCTTAATTTTACAATTGAAACACTGTTGTCTCTCGCATCAGTCACCTTTAGACTAAATGGGTACACCTCAATACTGTACTGCTTCTGTCCAACACCCTGAGAAATCAACTTTCTTGGCAATTCTGGTCCACCTTTGTACCTGCATTTGTGAGACAAAAATCAAGTATTTTAATTCGTCCAATGAAAATTGGAATTAATTCATTTTTCCACTGCCCAAATCCTATGATGTTTCCATAACCATACATAGGCTACCATAATATTTCAAAATTCAAATATTAATCCTGGTCAAGCAAAAGGTTCAAGAACAATTTCCCCGCAACATGAAATTGTTTCCAGACTTAACTTCAGATAAAATAACATTCTGCCTATATGGGTTCAAGGAAAAGAACTATACACTAAGTTTAAACGTGTTTCAGGCTTCTGCTTCATTGTGCGGTAAACCCAGTTCAAAAACCCAATAAGGAATTTGATTCCCGAACCTTAGGTTGTGGGAACTAAATCTGTGTGGCGTCTCTACGAAAACATCACACTGATACATATTAAATGCGTTAAAAGATTGTTTTGTGGCTCATTTTCAAATAATAATTGTAGCATCAAAAGATAAAATATGCTTATTTGACTCTTAATTACTATTTACAACTATAAACCACAAGATTATTAATTGTTTCCAGACCAAAACGCAAGAAACATATTGAGAATAATAAGCTTACCATTCCAACAGCCTTTCCCATACTTCTTGAGGAACTAAAACATAGTCTATCTCCTCTTGCAATGTTCGATGAATATCTAAATCATTCCCGTCACAATTACTTCCATTTGAAATAATATCAGAATTATCAATTGGACCAGGTCTAACGGCGTCGACATGCAGGCCATCAGAAGATTGCTGATCGGTGGAAAGCATTCCAGGGCAATGCCCCACATACATCTGCCACCTTGAAAACCATCTGCATGGGTGGCAAAAAAGTCTCGATTAAAAAATGGTAGGCTACATATAAAATATAATATAAAGTGTAGAACAATATAGTTACATAGCTTTTTCCAAAAGCTACTTCATTTAGACTGAAAAATAGCACTGACACTTATGGATGCATCTTAAATAATTTAGACACATTCTGGGAGTAAAAAAGTGGTTTTTCCTTATACTCAAACAAATGAGCCCATACATGTGTTAACAGATTGGATTTGGAAAAATAAAATAAAAGAAACACGGGGCAACTTAACGAACGATTATAGTTGTCAAACCCACATAGCAAAGCATATGACACAAAACGATAAAGTAGGATTGCAAATAGCGTGATGGCTGCTATACCAAATATACAACAACAACAACAACAAAGCCATATCCCACTAAGTGGTGTCGGCTATACCAAATAACATAACATCACTGATGATTACATCCTTCAAACGAGGCGGAACAAATCATGTAGAGCCAGAGAAATCATGCGGTGAAAAATCATCAATCAAGTACAATAGAGACACTGTAGTGATGTCGCATCGCATAACAGGGCGTCGGGTGTTTCTCAAGATGGCAATCATAGAGGCTGCTGTGGTGTAAGAGGGGTTACAAAACAACATTTGCTCTGGATTTCTGAGTTTATTTAGAGTAGTAAATTTGCATGCAGTATTTTGCTTCAGAAACATTACAAGGTTTGATATCATTCTTATTTGATCATTCCCACACACAAAAATACCTCAGTCTTGAACAGTGTTTTTTGACCCCAGTGACTCACTGCTCCCCAGCATCTTCTCCAGTCAATCCCAGCATTTTCGGACCATTGACCCTCTGCAGACAGACCTCTGTTCTTTGTTTGGGCTCTGTCCGTGTATCAGAGCTCAGTCAATGGTCTCTATTTACACTTCACAGCTCACAGATGCAAGTTTCTTTTTCTAGGTTTGTTCTTTGTTCTTCACACTTCACATTCTTTTAATTTTCACTTAATCTGTTCTGTTTTTCCTATTAATTTGACCAAGTTTTTTACTACATTCCTATGTTCTTTTTATTTATTATTGAAGATCTTTTAATTTTGAGTTTTTTTTTGTGAGCAGTATAAACTAATTAGTCTATTATAATCTTAGAAACAGCAGACATCCTGCTAAAGTGTTTTCTAGGTTATGATGCAAAGGCTGCTATAAGCCAAAGAGTTACATCATGTACTGGAGGTGGGGGATATGAAAAAACAAAATCATTGACAAATTTAAGGATAAGTGAACAAAAAAGAGGGCAACGAGGATTCAATTTTGTGTTAACCATATCAGCCTTGATTAGTCCACCATTTCTTTGCCATCGCTTCTCTAATAAAACCACAACATGATGCCGCATCTTTCACGACAAGACATTCATTGCATTGCTATGACAGCCACACCGCAAGCAATTAATAATAACGATAATAATACGGAGAATACCCTAGTACCCGTCTTGTATTAATTAGAGTTGGAACAAATGTCAGTTGCCAAGCATGCATTGCTTGTCAATAGTCATCATACATTTAAAACAAAGCCGGAAATCGACAAAAAATTATCAACTCATATCAGATAAAGTAACATTTACTACAAAGCCGGAAATCGACAAATGATCATCAACTCACATCAGACAAAGTAACACTTACGACAAAGCCGGAAATCGACAAATGATCATCAACTCACATCAGGTAAAGTAACATTACCTTTGCGAAATAATAAAAAACTAGCCGTTTTCCGATAAGTAAGGAAAAGTAACACATCAAAGCAAACTACATAACTGGTAGTGCATCAATAGACATATATCTGTCTACCCACATCTATTTATGCCGATATAAAGAAGCAAATTAATTAACTGCATTAAAAAATCCCCAAATCCAAGGGTGGGACAAGCCAATCCCGCATGGTTTTTCACAAGATAATCAATCATATTCAAATTCATCATGCACAGCATACACAGGATATCATATAATCGCTAAAATTCAAGAAAAATATAAGGAGATTCAGATGAGATCAAAACCTATTGGAAATAACGTAGTACAAGTTGCCCTCTTTCAAATTAAGTTCCGATATCTTAATCAACTCAGACACGATCCGTTTTTCTTCTTCCGGTGAAATCGGCAAGCAACTCGCGCCATTATCAATCGGAAAATCCGAATCAGCAACAGTCATGGTGGATTTTATCGACAAAAATCACAATGAAGATCTCGAATTAAAACCCTAAGTCACCGAAATTAACACCGAGTTAAATCAAAGATCAACTTCAAATACAAAACCGATTCAAGAAGAAAAAAAAAGATGAAGTGTGAAGCACGATAAGTACCTTATTCAAATAGATCCAACTAGATAATAATAAACTGTGACGAGAAAAATAAACAAAATAAGAAAAAATGCGAAGATTTGAAATACGAAAGAGTATATTCGAACAAGAACCCTAGTTGAAGGGAAAATGGGAAGAAATTGTTAAGATGAAATGTGATGTACGTAACGTAAGGATCTAATCTAACTTGAAGAAACTTTACCGTCTTTTCAACGGCCTCTTCTTGTTCAGTCTTGTATATTTGCCCAGTAGAAAGTTTTTATTTTGACCGATGTAGAATTTTTGTTCTAGTTTGGTACATTTTAAATTACTTTTATTTACATGATTTAATGATTTTATTTTTAAACTACAAAAATATTGTCTAGTGCATATGGATGATAAAAGTTACAAGATCGTGCCATTTTTCTGAGGTGGATTTGAATTGGCATTATTCTTCTTTTTTTTAACATTTGGTTACTTAAGTTGATCTCTTCGTTTTCTTTTTTTTTTTAATTTGTCTTGGTTTACATTACATATGGTGAATGATAGATGAGTTAGTATTTTGTATTGGGTTAATTACAACTTTGATCCTTCTATTTTGTATTTTTTTTTATCCTCTCATTTTAAAAACTACGATTTTGGTCCCTTTTTTAGGTTTCAAGATTGATATTAGTCTCCTTGCCATTTTAAGTCATGTTTTTAATGATGTGGCGCATTGAATGATGACGTGGCATTTCCATGTTATTTAAAATGGTCATATTAATTTTAATATTATTTCCATGTCATTAACGTGGTTTTTTATTTCATTTTCAGAAAATTAATAAAATAAAACTTAAATGTAAAACTCCAGTTCTTTCATCTTCATCCCATTTCTTCAAACCCAGTTCACGAACGAACGAATCTTGGTCTTCCCCTTTCACGAACGAATATTCTCATTTCTTCAAACCCAGTTCTATATCAAACCGCAACTCGCTTCCCGTCGTCTCTGAAATGGCAAACTGAAGTTACGTGTCGAGGTATGTTTCGTAACTCACCTCTGAATACAAAAACCCTAAACACGCAAATGGCGTTTGTGTTCTGTCATAGCATATGATTTGTTTATACCAACTCCCGGTTTTATCTATGTTTTAATTCATAAACTGTCGTTTGTGTTTTGTAGGCCCTCTGATACCCAAGCTGTCAGATTTAGAGTACACCATAGGGGACATTTAATTCAAAATTCAGTTCTGTTGTATGTTGATGGGCTTGTAACTGAAATGAATTGGGATTGGGATGTGGACTTGATGTTCTACATGCAAATTGAAGATTTGATCAAGAGTGAGGGGTATTGTAATATAAAGTGTTTATGGTATTGGAATCCTAATTTTTTCTTTTCTCTTAGACTTCGGCCTATGAACAATGATAATGATGTCTTAAGGTTAATGGAGGATGTTAGAGGATTTAAGGTAGTTGATCTTTATGTTGAACACAAAGCTGAAGAAATAAGTATTGAGGATGTTATTTTTTAGGAGGATAATGGTGAAGGAGCAAACGGTGAAGTTAATGTCGAGGGAGCAAATGATGAAGTCAACGTTGAGGGAGCAAATGATGAAGTTAATGTCGAGGGAGCAAATGATGAAGTTAATATTGAGGGAGCAAACGATGAAGAGGTTAGTGTTGATGGAGTAGATTAAGAGGTTAGTGTCGATGGAGTAGATGAAGAGGTTACTGTTGATGAAGTAGATGAAGAGGTTAGCGTTAATGTTGATGACGTAGATGACGAGAGTGAAACATATCCAGATTATAGCATGGGCAATGAGGATGACGAGGAAGAGGATGAAGATTTGAAAGATGAAATTGATGTGATGAATTTAGGTGTTGACGTTATTATTAATTGGAAGACCGTTTTACCTAATGCTACAGTAGAAAAACCTTCAAAGTTGGATGGTAATTCCGATAATGGTAGTGATTCAGATGTGCTTCAAACTCCACCTGGTAGTGATGCTGAAGGTGATATGACAAAGTTTCCAATATTTAGGGAACCCACAAAACTTGAAGTATGGATGATGTTCAAGGATAAACAACAAATCAAAGATGCCATAAAGGAGTATGCAATGGAGAATAAGAAAAATCTTGTATTCAAGAAAAATGACAAGAGAATGGTTGTCAAGTGTGTAGATGGTTGTCCATTTCATATTAGGTTTAGCATGAGGACTACCAATCAATATTGGCAACTTGTTAGCTTAACTGATTGTCATGGCTGTCATAGGACAGCCAAAAATAGATAAGCAAAAACGGATTGGTTGGGTCGCCAATTTGTGTATACCATAAGACACACTCCTGAAATAAAAACCAAAGGGCTGATTGCAGAAGCTATTAAGAAGTGGGGGTGAAGTTGTCAAAGGATCAAGCTTATAGAGCCAAGAAAAAGGCAATGGAATTGATTCAAGGTGCTGGTCGTGAACAATTCACACATCTTAGAAGCTATGGTGAGGTGTTGTTAAAGTCAAATCCAAACTCCACTGTTAAAATTAAGTGTGTTGATTCAGATAGTGGTCCTGTCTTTAAAAGAATATATGTATGCTTAGAAGCTTATAAGGCAGCGTTTGCAACGACGTGTAGGCCTCTAATAGGACTGGATGCTTGTTTTCTTAAAGGGGACTTTGGAGGTCAGTTAATAGGTGATGTTGGTAAGGATGGAAATAACAAGATTTGTCCAATCGCGTATGCCGCAGTGGAAGTTGAAACAAAAGACTCTTGAAAATGGTTCCTTAATTTGTTACTAGAAGACTTGCAATCTATACAAGACAACAAATATGGATTTATATCAGATCAACAGAAGGTTAGTTTTACAATGTTGTTATGTGTTATGTGTGCTACTATGCTGCTATGCTGTTATGTTCCATTACAATGTTGTTATGTTGTTTGATATGTGTTGTTATTTGTTAAATAAGAAGGGAATTTCAATAACAATTTGATATGTGATGTTGCTACTGCTATGGCCTAAGTTTCCAAATGTGATACTGCTATAACATATGGCCTAAGTTTCCATATGTGATGTTGCTACTGCTAAGTTTTCAATAAAAATTTGATAAGCAAAAGTAAATAAATAGATAGAAAGACTAATGTGCATTTAAATTAATCAAAGACTAATGATGTGTTGATATGTGTTGTTATGTACTGTTGTTTGATGTGTTGTTATGTGTTGTTATTTCAGGGATCGGTACCGGCTACTCTTGAGACAAACCAACATGTTAAACACAGACTATGTGTTAAACACTTGTATGGCAATTGGAGAAGGAAATATCTTGGGATATTTATGAAGGAGGTTTTATGGCGGGCAGCTAGAGCCACAATAATTCCTGCATGGGAAAGAGCAATGAATCATATGAAAGAGCTCAATGTCAATGCTTGGAAAGACATGATATATGTCCCAGCTGCATGTTGGACTCAGTCTCATTTCAAAATAGACACACAATATGATTTGCAAGTCAATAATATGTGTGAGGCTTTTAATCGTGCAATCTTGGAGTATAGAGATAAGCCGATCATTTCACTACTTGAAGGAATCAAACATTACATAACAGTGAAAATCTTTGCTCAAAAGGAGAAATTAAGTAGGTACACAGGTGTTACAAGTCCTAACATTCAAAAAGTCTTGGAAAAAACAAAGAGGGCAGCAAAAGGATGGATTGCAACATGGCATGCAGATGATGACTTTGCTATATTCGGAGTTTCAAACGGTGTTGAGACATATGTTGTGAACTTGCTTCAACAGAAATGTGGTTGTAGGAAGTGGGATTTAAGTGGAATACCATGTTTTCATGCTATTGCATGCATATGGTATAACAAGAAGGAGCCCGAAGAGTACGTTTCATCATTCTATAGGTATCACCTACTCGTATATTATGTTCATTTACATTCATCTTTTTTGTATGTTTACTAAAATCATTGTGTCATATTGTCTAGGAAATCTATTGTTCTGGCTACTTATAACCATATTATTATGCCAACCAATGGCCCACAACTATGGCCTATTAATGTTGCTAACCTAATCAGCCTTCCAGTCATGCGAAGATCTATCGGTCGTCCTAAGAAGAATCGTGACAAGGTGAATGATGAACCGAGGATAAGAAATATACTTCCTAGAACTCTTCAAAGTGTCAAGTGCAAGAAATGTGGGAGTTTTGCCCATAACAAACAAACGTGTAAAGGGAAGCGAGATGCAGAGAGAGCGATTCCTGAAGGTGGCAACAAAAAACCTAAAAAAAAGGGTGACAAGCCGGGCAAGGAAGCGGGACAAACTGTTATAGACGGAGGGTCGCAAGCACCGCCACCAACCCAAGAATAGTTCTATGTTTTACTTTACTTTTTGTGATGCTGCTATAGCATATGTTATGACCAAAAAACTCAAGGTCTTTTTGTTAAAATATGTTGTCTTTAATGCTGCCTTCAGTGTAATGATACACCATTCTTGATACATCAGCCTTCAATGTTATATTATGTAGTGCTGTTATGTAATGCTGTTGTTTGATATGTAAAGTTACAATGCAATGTTGTTTATACATCAGCCTTCAATGTTATACATCAGTTTATTATTACAATGTTGTGTTGTTTATACATCAGTTTATCATTAGAATGCAGTGTTGTTATGATACATCAGTGTTCAAAGTAATGTTGCTTGCCTGTTATGTAGTGTTGTTATGATACATCAGTGTTCAAAGTAATGCTGCCTGTTATGTAGGTCTTTTAAGGTTTCAATTTTTGACAGCACTGAACTAAACTGCCTGTTATGTAATATTTATTCAGAAGCTTGTTAGGATTCATTAAAAAGGAGGTCTTTATGGCTTTGACAACTATAGGCTGAATAACAACCATAAGTATCTTCCTTACT